GTTAACCCAATGCAGCGCGTGTATTGCTCGCGTAGACGGGGATTTCTATCAGGCCAGCCAAGTCGTTTTCGTGTAACCTTGCCATTGAAACGCGATAGTGGATTCAGTGCCTCACAGGTCCTCTAAACGATAATTAGCCTGACGTACACTGTACCACCGTTTGCCCGGAGAAGTACTATCCTCGTCGTTGTACCGCATTTTGGAGGTAAATTCTGACATGCATGATGTACTGTTCGTGGGGATTGTTATGGGCCCCTAATAAAGATCTAAGGATGGACTGGCTAGGGAGTTTGCAGGATGCATGCAATCCTTACCCGTAGACAGGTACTCAAATTTTGAACTGTGTTGCCCAAATTTGGTGTCCGTGGTACACCTTCTTGCGGTGGATTGCGGTAAATGAATTATGTCGTTCGTTCTATAAGTGCGCGCTTTCGAAAGGCTCGTGCTTTCGCTGCTCTCCGGGCACGTGTAGTGCTGTGCCGTGAAATGGTAACCGAACTTCTGAAATGCATTTTCGATGTGAAAAGGTTACCTAACTATGATTGTAAGGTTAATTGTCGTGAAGTTTAATCCCGAGATATTTCAGTCACGTCAAGATGCCGGATTTTGAACGAGCTTCTTTCGGGCTCAATGCGAAAACAATGTTTACAATTGACTACTTAATTACTGTGAGTTCTCTTCATTGATTTTCGATGTTTTTATAAATTGAAATGTGTTGCTGGAAGATATTCTTCCCTGTACCCATTTGGCAGAAAATTACACATTACAATTTTATAATTGAACAATGGGCATCTTTCCGTTTAAAAAAGCGTTAGAATTGCCGAGTTTTTTTTAACCCGGTCTGTGTTTGCACTTTTATTTATGATTCTCAACCTACATGCTATATACATTCCGTCTAAGACAACTCACTTATTACGCTACACAATGCAGAGGACGTTACATAAAACTTTGCAGCGGATGTGGAACGTGTAATTTACTTTATAAGCAGCACTAATAAATGGACAGATACGGTACTTTATAATAGGTACCTCAATCTTGAAAAATGTCATAACTAGAAACTCTTTTAAAGCCAAAAGATACACTTTCTTCACTCATAAAATCTGGAGAAGTGAATTGCTACGAACTTAGTACAGGGAAGAATATTTACATGCCTGTTTCCTGTAGACTATATTTGAATTTATAAGAATATCGAAAATCAATGGAAAAAGGTCGTACTATTTAGGTAGCCATTGTTTAAAGATTGTAGTTTTTGCAGTCAGTTGGAAAGAAACTCGTTCATAAACCTTCTTCCGGAAGTGACTGAAGTAACTTGGAATTAGACTGCATGACAATTAGCATTACAATCGTATTCAGGGAATTATTGTGAAGTCGAAAACACGTCAGGACCTCGGTTGACATTTCAAGAGGTATCGCATCTACTGCACAGTATTTATATTAATATCCACTGTAGTTCACTACTTTTATCTTTTCAAGCTCGAAGCTGGTCACTGGAATCTAGTTGGCCAGGCACAGAATCAGCCCCAACTTACTCTCACTGAGGCTCCCCAATCAGTGTTACGTCAACGCGACCGCGCCCTCCACAACACCGAACAGACCATTGTGCAGCTAGGCGAGATCTATCAGCAGTTCAGTTTTCTAGTGAAGGAACAGGGCGAAATGGTTACACGCATTGACACGCTCCTGGAGGACGCTGGTCTCAATGTGGACCTCGCACACAATCATTTAGTGGAATTTATGCGTCGAATATCCTCTCGTCGAGCCTTTATGCTCAAACTATTTGCAACGCTCATCATTGTCTTCTGTATCTTTGCCTTCCTCCTCCGGTGAAGACCTCCTTACTCATTTTGCTCTATTCCTTTTCAATATCTTCTCCCCATTTACGATTTGGTAGGGTCCAGTGCCATTCAGTCTTTCTTTCTCTCCCACCCATATTTCCCAACAAGCAACTGATTTAATAAATGCTTATCTCGATTTCATTTTTCTTCAGAGAGATTGCCACAGCTGTTGTTCTCTGACTTGTACTTTGTCATAATGTGCAAGTCACACTTGCGCGCTGTATGTTGCTATCATTAACAACGATAAGAGAAGCTAAAACTGCCGTTTCTGACTTATCTTTTATTGTCAGCCGCCTAAAAAGGACTCGAATGTCAAAACCGGGCCCTTATTCTCTACCGACAAAGTTGTCCGCTAACGTCCTGTATTCTGCCACTTGAAGTATTCGAAGTCACCTACGAGTAACGTTGTCAGATCTAGCCGTCTTGGCAACACCAAGTTAAACATCCTGTCTTCGCGTATTGCACACGATCTAGTCTCTACAGGATGCACAAGGCTTTCTCAGACTGTGGTTCCGATGGCACATGTAGGGGAGTTCCATAAAGGTCATATTATGAAGGACTTATTGAGCCCAACTCGGTCCTGCTAATGACAGAGTTACCTCGTCAGTTGGCAGCATATGCCTTTTAACACACCCTGACAGAGTCTTGCGCGTCAGCTTTCTTAGAGTGAGGAATACGCCGTCGGCTGCCCGAGCCTGTCAGCCATCTGCTTCCGGGATCGGGCGCAATGGCTGCCGCAGTCGGAGTCTTACCCTAGGCGTACTACAACCCACCCCGTTTACTGGTAGTAGTTATAGGATGCGCTGACTCTACTGTCCGATTAAAGCTTGTTGTGAGCCAATCTAACTTCTGATTTGGTGCGACACAGCCCGTCCAATGGGGCAATCTGGTCACGCAGTGGAACAGGCCGTTTAGTTTTTTTCCAGAAGGGCCGGTCTGCATTCGTCGCTGGTGGTTAATGACACTGAGTGTTACCAGGAAAATCAGATGAGTTACAATGCCCATTTATGGCTTATTGCCGGTTGAAAACCCAGCCGTACCAAAACCTCGGGCCAGGAATTCCAAAGCTAGATTGATGCACACTTCACCGCACGATCGAGCTAGCGTTGCGACTGTCACAGGCCACTTCCAGAGACATTCCGACTACTCATCGCAGGGGACAGGAGCTGAGACATTTAGTAGAGTTGAGCTTGGTCATGAACCGCAGCTCTCAGACTTGTCTACTCTGGTGGTGATGCGACTGTAACTAATCGATAGCTGTCTGCGCCCGTGTCCGCGTCTGCATTTATTCTACATTAAAAATTAACTTTGACGACATTTTAGTTCTTTGCTCTTCTTCGTCGTTTGAAGAGCTTCCGTTTTGCGCTTCGCAGCCGCACTCCACGAAACTCTTCAGGAAAAAGACTGGCTCAGGATATTTCCACTAGACGAGACTGTATGCTGGACTGAGTTACTAGACAGACTTCGGCTTGCTGTGCAATTTTAACTAATACAAATAGACATGCGTGGGACAGCGGACCTTTTGCTGGTCGAGGTTCTGGCAGCGGCCGATTCCAGCGGGGGAAAATGAGGTCCGAAGATGTTAACTACGGCGAGAAAGCCTGCCGTCGTTGCTCAAACACTTTCCCTGCCGTTGGTTGCTTGAGCAGGCAGGCCCTGTTTCTGACAACTTGGTCCCTTACAGATTAGCGACATGTGTGCGAATGGAACGTGTTTCTTTCTAAACTTGCATATCAAATCGGGGATGAATGCGCATGTTGTTGGTGACGGAGACTTTTGAATATCTAGCTAATTTTTTATCAATAGGCTTTCAAACGGAAATATTATTAATCGGGTTAACACATAACATTCCTGAGTCTATTCCTATACTACAACTTGCTCACTTAGGTTGGAAATTTCTCATTTGAATCTATAACTGATGCCTCGAAAGTAAACTCCATATTCAGTATTTTTCTTTCTTTGCCGACGAGGCTTGTATGAATTTTAAAAAGGGAAGTATTGGAGGTATTCAAGTACTTGATTTTTAGAAGGGAACACTATGCTCTAATGCTTTACTTTACTTATATGCTAGTATACCGATATTCGTATGTTTTTTTAAGAACAGCTTGCGCTTTCCAAACTGCATTTTGTGTATGCTTCCCGTAGCTGACCCAATTTTGACAAACGCGACGAGACTCGAACTGTTGATGGTAGAGGCATGATTTTAATACAGCCAGCACTATGCTCACCTGAGGTAGGCGGCCTCGTAAGGATTGCTGGGGTAGCGAATATACCGGCAATGTGCGCACTAAACTCCCTGGCCAGACCATACCTTCGAATACAGTGCCCACTCAGGGACCTTCAACTGGCGACTCTGCTACATGTTACGCGGTAGATGCACTGGACCAACAGAGCACAGCACATGTTATTGAGCATGCGCGCCCGTAATAAGTGTTACACATATGGATGTGATAGCATCACTGGGCGTAGGCTCATGCCCTTTCAGTTATGTGCGCTGGATCCCGCCTTCGGTCTTCTTGACAACGGCCTCAGGATGGCGAGGGAAGAGAGGATGCTATAGATGTTTCGCAAATCACCGCCTCTGCCTCTATCCTGCCGTGGGGCACACACTAGGCCTCGTCTGAATCGACGGCCCAATTGTAATTTAGTTAGATACTGCCATTCTACTGTGCAGTAATTGCCTTGACTGGAGGTGTCCTGCTAGTAACTTTTGCGGCTTCAGTTACGCATTTTTTTTCTATTTAAAATTCCATTGAAAGATTTCGAGCAGTGGTTCCAATTGGGTTACCTATCGCCGGGAGCACCACTATTCAGGACATTTGTGTGACACTAAAATTGATGAAAAAATTGTTCTTTGACCTGTCAGACAGTTACAAGACGGTCATGCATATGCTGTGCTCATGAGACGAGTCACTGCAAATGTTAAGCCGAGGTTATTCATTAATCAAATCAAACTTTCATTTGACTGGCCAGTCTCTTTGTCACTTCGAACCCGTTTGTGTCTAATTTCCGTAAGTTACAGGATTATTTTGTCTGGTAGTTTCAACTACAAGAGCTGAAAAAGGTTTCCTTCACCTAACAACCCCCGATATTTTGGCAC